TTATTTTATCATTTCTCTTTAGATGGATATTTATTTTTTTCCAGATTTTTAATAATTCAATAGATACTCTTGTCAAGTTCTTTGGACATTTATTTCAAACTCAGGACTTCATGCTTGCTAGGCATATACTCTACCACTTGAGCCACTCCTCCAGCCTGTTTTTGTGTTGGGTATTTTCAACATAGGATCTTGCAAACTATTTACCCAGGCTGGCTTCAAATCACAATTCTCCTGATCTCTGCCTCCCAAGTAGCTAGGATTACAGGTGTGAGCCTCCAGAGCCTGGCTGTGTATTCTTAAGTATTTCTTTAAGATGGTAGAGTTCTACAAATGAACTTTCTGTTTCCAAGGGCTCAGATATATAGTATTTTGATAAATAGACATTTTTAACCCTCTTTGCTGCCCATGCAAAAATATTGTATATGTGTATGTATATAGTATATATATACATTTTGTGTGTGTGTGTGTTTCTTGGGATTGAATTTAGAGCTCAGGGCATCATTAAAGCACTCTTACCACTTGACCCACACCTAGTCCTTTGGCTTTTAGTTTTCATATAGGGTCTCAGTGTAATTTTTGCCCTGGTGGACCTTGAACCATAATTCTCCTTTCTTCATCTGCCAGGTAGCTGGGACCACAGGCATGTGCCACCATGCCCAGCTCACATATACACTCTTGCCAACCATTCATTGGAGGAATATTTCTCCTCCTCACCCCCCCACACAAAATATCATTCATTTTTTATCTATTCCAATGAATGAAAACTTGTATTTTTTATTTTAATTTGTATGTCCCTGATTAAGAATGAAACTGAGCATAGTTTTCCATTTTTTGTAAAGCATTCCTCTTCAAGAAGAGTTAAACAGTAAAAGATAAAAAAAAGAAAACTTAAAAATGCTTTAAGAAAATGCAGGAGGTTAGATGTGTGGCATATAACTGGAATCCCAGCTACTTGGGAGACAGAGATGGGAAGATCATGGTCCAAGGCCTACCAAGCCAAAAAAAAACCATGAAAACCTATCTCAAAAACAACTAAAAGCAAAAGAACTGGGGGCAAGGCTCAAGTGGTAGAGTACTTGCTTGGCAAGTCCAAGGCCCTGAGTTCAATCCCCAGTACCACCAATTTTTTTTAAAAGAACTATTGGAGTTTATAATTACCTAGGAAAAAATTTGTGAAATGAATGTTAATAGATTTTTCCCACATCTATAAAAAAGTATGCATGCAAAAAGGCATTAATTTGCCGTTAAAAGACAGCTAATGTAGTAAGATGAAATATTTGCTTCTACAAATTAGTAAGAAAAAGACACAGAAAAATGATAAATAGTTCTACAGTGTATATGTATGTCTGTCTGTATGCTTACATTCACCTGATTTTTGACTTGGAACAAATTCCTACAAGTTAGTTTGCTAGATAAAATGATGTACACATTTAAAATCTGTTGTGTATTATAAAATTACCTCCAGAAAGGCCTCCCTATTGGACACAGTTGACATCTTATCACAGACCACCAGTCCAGGCATTATTAGTTTTTTTAGTCTTAGTCCATGTTGTAGTCCATATTTTGTTTATTTAATTTGTGCCAAGACCTAGTATTATTTAATGTTTATATACTATTTGTTTTTCTTCATATATTACTTTGTTCGTTAACTTTATTAATTGCTTATTCTGTCCTCCACTGATTTTTCTGTGGTATTTATATTGATTGTGTGAGCTTTTTTTGTGTTAGTATCTCTTTCCTATCACTGTCACATATGTTACAATTTTGTCTTTTGTTATTTGACTTTTTATTCATAATATCCTGTTGTAGAAGCTTAATATGGTCACATAACTGTCTTTTGTGTTTTCTAGTTTTGGTGTTAATTATTGTTGATGTATAATATGACCATCAATTACTTACATTGCCACAGCATACATTGCTTCATATGAGTTGAAATATGCAATTCCTATTATTTGTTTTACTTATTCTAAATTTTATTTGCCAGGTTTTTTGCATGTTAGTGTTTTTACCTCAGTTTAATTCATCTCTCTTCATTATTTTTTATTCTTCTGTTATTTATTGTTATTTATATCACATCTGTATTGTCTCTGTTCAATAATTGTTTTCTCTCCAAAATGAAAATTTATGTTCTGTCACATAGACTTAGTGTCACATAGACTTAACGAGTACCACTTAGTTGATAAAACTACTTTTAATGATATCTCAATGGGTGAGGTCCTAGAAGTAGGGTTCTGGTAGGTTATATAGCTCCCACACACAGAGTATAGGGCCTAACAGCAACAGATTTCTATCATCTTTTCACAAGACCTGACCATTGTATTTCAAAGAGTGAATAGTAGAGTGTTACTATGTAATGGGGCTTACTATGCATATTCTCACTGCTTTAAATTCACTGATCATATACAAAGGGAAGAATGCACTAGCTTAGTGTTTGATCTTTACCACATAGATCTAACGTCATGATCAATTGCTTACAGTGTTTTCTTTGAAATCACATAAGAGTTTATATGTGACAAATTTCATAAGGATCACATGATAAGGTCAAGAAATACAAATTCCAAGGCAGAATTTATATGCCCAGTTCACATATGACAGTAATACTATATAACCATATGTTGAATTTAATATACTATATGTAAATGCTATTCTTGAAGGCAATCCAATCAATAAAACCTAAAATAAATAACACTTTAATAACACATTGCAAATAAACTGAAAATGGAATAAATGGGCTTCATGGCAAGAACATCCCTATAGAATTGACATTCAGAGGCCATTAAAACACAGAGAGTAAAACAATCATGAAGCTAAAGAAAAACTGTGAATATTTAGAAGTTTTTTAAAAGCCTACTATATTGTATGCCAAGATGCAGCAGTCATTTTTATTTAAAGAGCTATTTTGATAAAAACTGGATTTTTAAGCATTAAAAAGCAAATTGTTTTCCATCACCAATAGCTAAAATACGCTTTTTTTAAATATACATTAACCAAAAAAAGTTTTTAAAATGCATAATGTTAAACAAAAAAGTCAAAACATAAAAAAACTGAAGTTTTAGTCATAATTTGAACTAGTGATTGACCAATTTTTATCATTAAAGAAGGCTATAGAAAAGCTACTGAAGTTAATTTCAAAAGCTTAGCAGTAAAAAAGTGACTGTAATGTCAGTAAAACTCTGAAACAGATCAAATAATTCCTAAGTAGTACTAATCTACTGCATCTCTTAACATGTATAGGCCTTTGTTTAAGCTGACAAGTTTGTCCTTTTTTCCTTTAATTTGTTTACAGCATGAAATGTTTTTTCAAATCCAACTGTTAAACTGGTAATAGTCAGCAGCTCAGGGTACAGGTACTGCCTTCATGCAGAGACAGTGAACTAAGATCTGTAATGTCTTTCATCTTGGCCTGCTCTGGAAAATGTGATTTTATCATGATATCTTGTTCAGACGTAGCTTATCTTTTTCAATACAAATACTTGTATACTGTATGTTTGTAAATAAGCAAAAATTGAATATAATTATCTAACCATGTTTTTTTTTCCTTTTCAACTCAGATTCATATACCGAAATGATTTGTTTGTGATGTCATCAGTGTTTTTAATTTAAATTTTGTCACTTTAGATCCTGGGAAGACTCTGCCTGAAGCACTTGATTACAGCACTGTGTGGCTGCAGACAGTGCCTGGAGAAATAGACAGCAAAAGTGGTATTCCACCTTCTCTTGTAACACTACAAATTAAAGACTTTCTTAATGGACCTGGTAAGAAAGTTATGATTCAAAAATGTGTAAATTTGTCTAAGTGAATGTACAAGCATAATATATCTAGGATCTGTTAGTAATTTTGACAATTCTTGTCAAAAATGAATAATTTGTTTTCCAGAAATGGATTCTCTTTGGGGCTTATGCTGGAGTTCAAAAGACAAATATAAATGTACATTAAAATTACATTTTAAAATTATCTTTAGACAGGTGCCGGTGGCTCACACCTATAATCCTAGCTATTCAGGATGCAAAGATCAGGGTCTCAGTTCAAAGCTAGCCTGGGCAAATATTTCCACAAGACCCTATCTTGAAAAACCCTTCACAAAAATAGGCCTGGTGGAGTGGCTCAAGGTGAAGGCCCTGAGTTCGAGCCCCCATACCACAAAAGAAAAAAAAATTATCTCTAGTCTGATAAAAAGTAGTTATCAGTTAAAGAATGGTTGACTGGAAACTGAAGATCCAATATTTTATTTCTACCTTTTCTGCTAATCAACTAATTGTGTGATCTTAACTAATTGATCTAATCTTCTGTGCCTTAGTATCTTTACATTAGATGAAGAAAATAAAATAGATGGATATGCACAATATACATACATAAGATAATGTACATAGATTAGTTAAGTACACTTATTTCAAATGCTTAAGAAAGTGCTCTAGACTAAGTACTCAGTTTTAGATAGATAGCAACAGCTATCAAAATGTGTTTTACATACTCATAAAGACTCAAGGAATAGGTTCTATAATTCTTTCTATTTTATTAATAATGAAACTAAAACTAGAAAAAGTGAAGTAAATTGCCTAAGGTCATGGTGACAGAAAAGCCTTTCAGAAGCCTAAGTCTTTATTACTCCACTAGCATCAACACTACACTAATTTTAGCATAATTCAAGATTTTTCTTCTATTCTTCCTCCTCCTTTTTCCTGCTCTTTTTCTAATTCCTTCATCTTATGGTCCTTCTCCTCTTCTATTCTTCTCATTGCAGTCTTAACTATTTGTCAGAAATTAATGTATTTTAGGTTTTCTTTTGTTATAGTGCTTCAGAATTTGTCAGTCATCAAGGGAATATTAGTTGCCTTTTTAAGAATTTAAAACAATGACATTATACTGTCCTAAGATCTCCAGCAACAACTGCCAGGCAAGAGTTTTAATGAGGGAAAATATCTCTGTGAGGACCCTGTCGAGTGTGTGTCTTATGGTATGTCTGCACTTACAATGCATAACTTCAGATGTAGAAGCATGCTAGTCATGATGTCTGAACTGAACAGAGCCTGAAACTTCATATGCTGGCTCCTCACTGAGGCCCAGTTCTTTGTAAGTATGTGTCTCCAGTGTTAGCAGAAAAAGTATTTCTGAAACCAGAGTTTTGGACCCCAAGCCCAAAATCCTGGGCTTCCTCATGTCAGGTCCAGCCACTCACCCCTATACATCAAACAAAGAGACATGCTGAAGGGTAGAAAAGAGATTTATTGCAGGGCCCAGGACACATCAATGGGAAGGGGCAAAGTAACCACATCAGCCAGCCCATCTTCAGCCATGTTTGATTAGTAAGTGTGAAGTACTAGATTTAATTCAATCCAATCCACCATCAATTATAGGAAAAAACATTTTCTGTACCACTAAGGAAAAAGAAAAAAAAAATCTGCCATTAAAACTATGAAACAGGACTTCCTTTTAGTGCATCGGTTTTAGGATATGTCCTAATTACAGAGTTGTTTGCATGTTAGAATAGATAAACAGAATAAAAGCACGTATGATTAGTTCATAGAGGAGTGACAGGGAAAGTTGGGTTCACTTCTTATTTCTCAATTTTAGTCTCAAGTTTCTTTTGTCTTAGACAGTCTTACAGTTTGGCTAAGAAGTTTCTTGCAGTTCACACTTGATTGATTTGTTTGCAGAAGGGATCTGCAAGTCATAAAGAGATTGGGCACCACATTTTCAAAGCAACCAAGTTGAGTTTTAACAGGAATGCCCATGAATGAATGAACAGCATTTGATTATAGCATTTAGTTTGACTGTAGGAGAAATATGATGTTTAAAATTATTATACTTTTGTTTTTCTTAAGGTATTTTTCAAAATTGGATATGAGATATATACCATTTCTGATTTCATATCTGTTTAATAATAGTGATTATATACTTGGGAAAGTCAAACATTTAAATAATTAAAATAGTTCTTTTACAGCAGTGCTTCTCAAACTTGAGTCTGCTTTTGAAGCATGTCTGTCTGATGAATGTATTAAAATTTAAGTGGTGATTTTATAGCTGTATAAGGTGTACTTGAAAATCTGTATTTCTATCAAGCTCACAGTGAAATAGGTTCTCGTGGTCTGGGGACTGTACTTTTCTAAGAGAATCAGTCACAGTTTTGGGGGTCAAACTGGAAATTCAGAGACACAGAAGAGGAAAATAATACAAAGAGAATTGATTGTTAGAATGGTGTTTTTCTTGTTGAAAATCAAACATAATGTACAATGAATGAAGTTCTTCAAAGTCTAAAACATCCTAACCAAAAGTACTTTTTCTTTGTATTTAAGGGAGGATTCATTTGCATGATACATTAATTCTGTGGAATTTTCTCTAAAACGCTAACCTAACAAGCTTGAACTTATACAAAATGTACAAAAATTTTCTTACTGTAAACATTTTTTCAATATGTAGATAAACATATTATTCTATAGGATAATTATATTCTCTCACTACATTTCCAGACTGTCACCATATTAACTTAAAAGTCAAAAAGCTATAGCAAATATTAAGATTAATTAAGTGGGAACAACAAGACATTAAAACATTTTTGACATATGAATGTATTATTTTCTAATTTTGGCAACTCAAAATTATATTTTGTCCAGATCTTAGGTAATAAGATTCTAAAGTACAATTTATGCTGGGACCGGGGAAACCAATTTCACTCTCTAATATTCCCCAATCCCATTCCTTTCCCTTAAAAAATAAAAAGGAAGCACTGCAAATAATGCAATGCGGATCCTTAATGCAGTCGTATCCTTGGACATTAGCACTCAGAAGCTTTTCTTCCATTGCTTCTTAGTGTGAATGCACAGCTATTTATCATTCTCAAAGACTGTCTCACTGGGACATCTCTAAACTTGGGAATTTCCATCTACTCTTTTCTTTTCTTAGCTAACAGTAACAATAAAAGTTATGACCCTGAAAAGTAGAGGAAAATAGTGAGCATAACTGTCTAACCTTAAATTTTCTTCAAAAAGCCATGAACTTAACAGCTCTTAAATTTAGTATTTCAGATTCATTTTTTTAAGGGATTGTTTCCCCTAAACAATCTGCTCTTTCACAGCAATGCTGCTCTTTAGCATTTGTATTTGGAAAAACAGTTCAGAGCTCTTGAATATGCCTTATTTCCTCCTTCACTTAAGAGTACCTCAGGCAAATGGTAAGTCCAAATTTCTACATCAAAAACTCCTTGAAAGCTCTTCCAACCCCCAGCTCCCTCTTTCAGAGACAGTTGTACCCATTAGCAAGGTCAGTGGCTTGGAGAAACCTGGAAAACAGCAGCTACCAGAAAGCCACTAGAATAATATCTCCAGCAGGTGATAGATTAGTTGGAACAAATTGGAACCATTGCAGTTCAGCAATCCTGGTTTCTTTCAAACTGTTTTTAAAATGTCGTCATTTTAATACACAATCTAAGCCCTGCGGAACAGTCCACAGCAGGTTAATTTGAATCATATGATGTGTCACTGCCCTCAGCTGACATGAGCTCTATTCCATGTGTGAAGCCATAATAAATCCATTCCCAACTGAGGAAAATTCCCTGTGAGAAGGTGAACTAATCCAGGCCTCACACTGGCATGCTAGCCCCTCCATAATTGAAAGCAGGGCCACCTGTTCCCAGCACAGTTAGCCTACAGAAAAAAATTAGTATTATATCAGATACTTCTTATACTGAAAAATCATTCATACTTCTTGCAAATTCAAATTCAGCTGTGAAGTGTTTGGTATGATATCATATAGAAATGTAGGAATGTGCCCACTTGATCCCAGTTTAAAAGTCTTGTCAACCATAGGATTTCTTAACTTTGAATGAATTTTTTTATTTAATGAGAGCTGACACGTGAAAAGAACAACTAGTAAGAGTGCAGATTTTTCTAATTAACTCAGGGTCATTTGCAAAAACATTTGAGCTCCCTGGTATTTTTTTTTCCATTGTTCTTTTGCACAAAAAAATTTTGAACCATTGTCACTGTAGCCATGAAATGACATTTAAATGACAACAAAGAACAAAAGTGCCACATTGGTACAATATTCCCAAGTCACTTTTGATTTATTATAAATTAATGATTTGCATACCCCATTGATCATATAATTTGAATAACATGGTTATAACAGGTACAAGTTATGGATGCAGTTTCACATTTCTTTTAACTTAATATGCATGGTGTCTATAGTAGAAACACACAACCACTGTGTCTTTTTCTCATAATAAGATGACTTTAGTCTCATCTTTTTTAACTTGCTCATTAATGTGCCTATATAGTTTTCACTTTTCTAATTTGATTTTACTTTGGATTGGTTTCATCTCTGATTTATTTTTGTTTTATTTGTATTTTTTAAATGTTCATCTCTACTTTTTTAAGTGAGTTTTTTATTAGCATACATTAATACCACGGGGGTTTCATTGCCATCTATGGCTTTATTTGATTTTTGTTTGACTTTAATTGATTATAATCCCATTTTGAATACTTTTTTCTTATATTTAATGGGTTAATTTGCTATTTTGTAAAATAATTTTAGCTTCTACTATTAAAAAATTCCTAACATCTGCTGGGCACCAGTGGCTCATGCCTGTAATCCTAGCTACTCAGGAGGCAGAGATCAGGAGACTCATGATTCAAAGTCAGCCCAAGCAAATAGTTCGTGAGACTATATCTCAAAAATACCTGTCACAAAAAAGGGCTGGTGGAGTGGCTCATGGTGTAGGCCTGAGTTCAAGCCCCAGCACTGCACACACAAAAAAACA